AGAGAATTGCCACCACAGCCAGTGTGCGGCGTGCTGCCTGCATGCAGGCGTGCGTGCAGTTGTAGCCTCGTCGGAGGCTGTGGAATGAGATGATCGGATGATCGATTGATGATGATCGATGATATCATGATGATGATGATGGACTATCATCTTAACATCACATCGACTACGCGACATGACTGCACATCTACTGGAGTGTTACAGCACATAAAAACGCACACGCGGGCATGCCTAGACCGCAAGCCTGAAGTCATGATGTATGCTGAGATATACATCCCTCCTTACATAACTATCCGCAGCCGCACGACACACACACGCCACGCCCATATATATATCTCCTACCTCGTATATCCATATGCACACGAGTATCGTGAGCGTGGACCCGATCTACGGTCTGACGAATGAAATCTGATGTCTGCTTCCTCGCTCTCTCTCCCAGATCTCGTTTTCGCTCACCGGAATAGAGGTGCATATTTCGCGTCGGCTCTCCGCTGCTGCTGGGAATCACCCTGCTGAGCAGGATACATCTGGCAGTGTTCAGCAAACTTCGACGAGCGTCATGGACTTCTGTGCAAGACGTCGCTGCCCACGGCCATGGGAGTCATACCGATGGCAAGGATATTCTAGATGCACAGGCAGTGCTCGGATTCATCTCGATAGAAATAAGTAATACTTATAGTAAGTATAATACTAAGTAATATGTAGTAATGTTATACTACATCTATATGTACTAATAGTAAGTAATATGTGCAAAAATGGTCAATTACATTTTTTAATTGAAATGCAAAGGTAATTGCTGTCTGAAAATATTTTGACATGAGACTGAAGAGCAAAAAGAAATGAAAATAGAAGACTGAAAAGAGGAGCTTTCACCTTTGGCCTATTGTAAGATATAAGAAACGAGTCCTATATTCATTCCAAATATATTCATTTATTTTATTCTTGGTGTTTCATTTGCATCACAATAAAATTCAATACCACGACGAATAGGCAGTTTTTCTGAATTTCCCTTACTATTATAACATTCAGCATGACCAGAAATTGACATTTTATGTGCTGCTAGTATATGTACACACGTGCCAGCTGACCAGCTAACCGCATTATCGTCGTATCCGGACAACTACCCCCTGGACAACTACCCCCCGGACAACTACCACCCGGACAACTGCCACCCGGACAATTACCCCCCTAGGACAACTACCACCCGGACAACTGCCACCCGGACAACTGCCCCCCTAGGACAATTACCCCCCTAGGACAACTACCACCCGGATAACTGCCACCCGGACAACTGCCCCCCTAGGACAATTACCCCCCTAGGACAACTACCACCCGGATAACTGCCACCCGGACAACTTGTCCAGGTTTTTTGGATTTTTAACTAGTTGAGAAACAATCTTATCAGGTAAGAATTTGGCGATACGTTTAGTCCCGTTAGTTCTTACTTTTAATGTAAAAAAATGGTAACAAAAATTTTACAAATTTTACCATAGAAAATTCGTGACGTAGTCAATTTAAGAACCCCTGTTCTAAGTGTTTGCAGCTATATTTATTCGCATCCGTTCCATTGCAGCTGAACGAGAACGGTAGCGAGACTTTGCCAAAGAACTGCAGCTCCAGTTCGCTGGACCTGGACAAGGAGATCGCCACGTTCAACCTGCGGCGGGCCGAGCCCGTGCGCCTGCGCAGGCTGAGTGGCGAGAGCGGCTCTAGTCGCGGCACCGAGAGCCCCCTCATCGAGTTGCAATGATGGTGGCGCCATCGTGTGGCAGCAAAGCGAAGCTGCATTCCAGTAACTGTGTCTCGCGGCACGGGAGGCCGGCGGCAAGTTGATGGCGGCTACCTCGCCATGGAGATGCATTGTCGTGGTTTGTCGTGAAACTTGTCTGTGTGGCATGTAGCAGCAGTAACAGCAGCAGCAGCCGTGCCGTCTCATGCCGTCAAAATGGTGCCGTTATACAGTGGAGCAACAGTTTGACACATTGTGCCATATCTTATGCCAGTACCTTGCCGTGTGTTGTCTGTAATGGTAGTGCCATCCCCCGACAGGGAAGGCAATGAGTAATGGAAGTATGAGGCAGCAGTCACTTCTCTGTTGCTTGGTGTCAGGGCGACAGCTCGAAATGCACCTGTACACACAAAGCTTGTATATCGAAAGAATTCTATCATCATTTGTTTGCATTTGCACAAAGTGTGCAGTACGTTTCCGTTTGCGTCAATGATGAGTAAGCCCAAACGCACTTCGCTGTATATTTGATCGTGGTGTGTATATATCCACACCGATTCATGGATAAACTTAAGTGTAGTTGATCAATTAACGAAGCATGCTCACTTGGATCTGGTATGGATTTGCCAGTAGCTCTATTTGTTATTTCGAGTGTGAGCCGTGTGTCTGAACAATCGCCGACTTGTAAATAAGCATTGTAAACATCGCCTTTACGTCTTTTCTGTACTGTTGCGTGCGCATGCGCGCGCGTGTGTGTAGCGGCCATTTTGCTCTTTCTCTATACGCGCATGCGCAGCGGATTGTTCGAAACGATATTAAAGGGGAATTGCGAACATGTGGTGACGGTTACCCTCATTTACTATGGATCTCTACTACACGCATCTCTCTCTCTCTCTCTCTCTCTCTCTCTCTCTCTCTCTCTCTCGTGATACATCGTTTTGCTAATGATCATGAGCATACGGTGGTTATGTCGAGTTATATCCAAAGCGTCTACCGAAATCTTATTGGGTCCTGATGTTGGGTCGCCATCGGTGTATAAAAGCTGTCTATTAGGGCCTTTTTTGACTACCGAAAATTTAACCGGTGTTTCTGTGTTGGCATATTGCGTCGGTGGTCATGGATGTCCGCTCGGTTAAGAAGGACGTGTTCTCCCTGTGACTGCGCCTGTGATTGCGCGTGTGACTGTGACTGTGACTGCGCCTTGTGTGAATGTTCGTGGCCGTGTCATGTCACAAGTGTTTGCGTGTCTGCGCAGCGCGTCACTGCCGGTGCGTGCGTGCTCGTGCGTGCGTGCGTGCTCATGCGTGCGTGCGTGCGTGTTTGGTAAGCCTTCAGGTAAGCAGCGTCGCAACGTAACAATCGTGATTGTAATTTCATTTTAAATAGGGATTGTGTCACAACCGTCATTTCTGCACCGGTTTATTGGTAACTTATATTTAAAAGAAAAGAAAGCATTGTGACAACCGGTTAGGCGCTCTTGCGCGTTTGAGTAAAACGTTTGTGATAGCGACATAGGTTCGAGGCCAGAGCGATGTCAGAACAAGATATCATGTTTTTTCGGTGTTCTACAACGGTACTCACTGGCGTGTACGTGTGTAGCTAGGATATATTCTGTATATACATAATGTGTGTGTGTGTGTATGTGAGTGCAGATTCAGATGTACCAGCTGTCGAGGCTGCTGCACGACCAGTACCGTGATCTCTACGAGCACTTCGAACAGCACGAGATCGTGCCGTCGCTCTACGCCGCACCGTGGTTCCTCACCGTGTTCTCGTCGCAGTTCCCGCTCAGATTCGTCGCCCGCGTGTTCGGTACGCGTGAACCTTCGCGAGATACGGGAGGCCTGGCGAGACGCTGCAGGCCTCCTGAGACGTGACAGGCCCTGCGAGATGGGTCGGGCCTCATGAGACGCGGGGGTCCTCACGAGACCCGGCAGTTCTAGCAGTAGAGAGTAGTTTGTACTAGTCTAGTAGTCTAGAGTAGTTTGGGAATGGTGTCACCTGCGAGCAGGTTATATGGTACATTTTACCCGTGTGTGCGTGCGTGCTGCCTGCATGCAGGCGTGCGTGCAGTTGTACCTCGTCGGAGGCGTGATGATGATGATGATGATGATGATGATAATGATGATGATGGACATGATCTTAATCATCGTCATCATGATGATTATGATGATAATGATGACAGGTAGAGCAAGCTGAAGTCATGTGTACCGTGAGATATACTCCTCGACATAACTATCCCACACCACCATAATATATAATTCCTACACTGTATATCATACACAGAGTACGTGAGCGTGACCCATTACATCTGACGATGACTGATGTTGCTCTCCTCTCTCCCCAGATCTCGTTTTCCTTCACGGAATAGAGGTGATATTTCGCGTGGCTCTCGTGCTGCTGGGAACTCACCGTGAGCAGATAATGCAGTGTAGCAAATTCGAGAGCGTCATGGACTTCTTGAAGACGTCGCTGCCCAGCATGGGAGTCATACCGATGGAAAGGATATTTAACCAGGTCAGTGCTGGATCTCATTGATAGAAATAAGTAATACTTATAGTAAGTATAATACTATTTTTATTCAAGGCTCACCATAATAATGTAATGTGTATTACTCTCTGCTCTTTGTCATGTACCTATCTGTGTCGTTCTAACAATCAATGTAATAGTGTAATTAAGTAAATGATTGTAAGGTTTATTTATCATAGACATTTGTCTAGTTTTTTATTGCTAATAATGTACACAATACATCACTAACAACATCGAAGCTGCATTCTACATGTAAACATTCTTTGCTGAAGTCATGAAGCGTAATTGCGTGGAACCACATCCTATAGTGCAAACATTTGCCTCCAGTTCTAAATGTGTTACGGACAAACGTATGTGTATGGGCCTACATCATAATAACAACAATAATAATAATATTAATTATTATTATTATTGTTGCTATTATTATGATAATGTACATTTTTTGTATATTTATGATAACGTTTGTCTGTTATTATTATTATTATTATTATTGCCATATATCTAATTATTGTTATTGTTATTATATTCAGAGCACTGTGAGCACACTTAGGGCGCGTGTGCGTGGCATGGAGAGAGACAAGGCCAACCTGCTGGAGACTATTACCAAGCTAAAGGCCCACGTTCCTCCTGATGTGGCAGCCAGGATGCTGGACGTTACCCAGGTCAGTTAGCAGCTGGAATAAAGATCCTGCCACACTACGTGCAATTACCTGCGCAACACTTAATAATACGGTCAGGGATCCGTCGCTACTAACCTATAGCGTGGTGTGTTTACATTTAATTTGATTTAATTTTTTTGGAGGCATTGGTAAAATTTGCAGAAATCCCACCATTATGTGTCCCAATGTTTGTCGCAGACATGTGATATTGGCCTTCAATTTTTGTACATTGTTAAGTACACATTTTCCTGTCCACCTATATTAGCAAGGCAAGGACACGTCCTTGCCATTCAAGAGGTTAGTCCGAGCGCTACATCACATGTGTTCTTCAAAGTCAGTGGTTCTCAACCTTTTTTGAGTCATGGACCCCTTTGAGAATCTAGTGAACGCTACAGACCCTTCCCCAGAAAAATGCACATAAACATAAAATTTTGCATGCGCCTGGTTCACGGACCCCCTGCAGCCCATCCACGTACCACACGTTAAAGTGATTACGTCACCGTAAATAGTAAAAAATAAAAAAAATATTTCCACTTTTTCACAAAATATAAGTAATTCTGTTCACTTTTTATGGTTAAATTGCTGCATTATACTTCCTATTTTACTATATTGTTCGATGTGAACATACACTCGTGACTCATACATAGCCCATAGCAAGCAATTAATGTCAGGAACATAATATCAAGTGTCAGGTTTTTTGGATTTTTAACTAGTTGAGAACAATCTTATCAGGTAAGAATTTGGCGATACGTTTAGTCCGTAGTTCTTACTTTTAATGAAAAAAATGGTAACAAAAATTTTACAAATTTTACCATAGAAAATTTCGTGACGTAGTCAATTTAAGAACCCCTGTTCTAAGTGTTTGCAGCTATATTTATTCGCATCCGTTCCATTGCAGCTGAACGAGAACGGTAGCGAGACTTTGCCAAAGAACTTGCAGCTCCAGTTCGCTGGACCTGGACAAGGAGATCGCCACGTTCAACCTGCGGCGCGGCCGAGCCCTGTCGCCTGCGCAGGCCTGAGTGCGGAGAGCGGCTCTAGTCGCGGCACCCGAGAGCCCCTCATCGAGTTGCAATGATGGTGGCCCCATCGGGTGGCAGCAAAGCGAAGCTGCATTCCAGTAACTGTGTCTCGGCGGCACGGGGCCGGCGGCAAGTTGATGGCGGCTACCTCGCCATGGAGATGCATTGTCGTGGTTTGTCCGTGAAACTTGTCTGCTGTGGCATGTAGCAGCAGTAACAGCAGCAGCAGCCGTGCCGTCTCATGCCGTCAAAATGGTGCCGTCGTTACAGTGGAGCAACAGTTTGACACATTGGTCCATATCTTATGCAGTACCTTGCCGGTGTTGTCTGTAATGGTAGTGCCATCCCCGACAGGGAAGGCAATGAGTAATGGGAGTAAGGCAGCAGTCACTTCTCTGTTGCTTCGTGTCAGGGCGACAGCTCGAAATGCACCTGTACACACAAACTTGTATATCGAAAGAATTCTATCATCATTTGTTTGCATTTGCACAAAGTGTGCAGTACGTTTCCGTTTGCGTCAATGATGAGGTAAGCCAAACGCACTTCGCTGTATATTTGATCGTGGTGTGTATATATCCACACCGATTCATGGATAAACTTAAGTGTAGTTGATCAATTAACGAAGCATGCTCACTTGGATCTGGTATGGATTTGCCAGTAGCTCTATTTGTTATTTCGGGTGTGAGCCGTGTGTCTGAACAATCGCCGACTTGTAAATAAGCATGTAAACATCGCCTTTACGTCTTTTCTGTACTGTTGCGTGCGCATGGCGCGCCTGTGTGTGTAGCGGCCATTTTGCTCTTTCTCTATACGCGCATGCGCAGCGGATTGTTCGAAACGATATTAAAGGGAATTGCGAACATGTGTGACGGTTACCCTCATTTACTATGGATCTCTACTACACGCATCTCGCTCTCTCTCTCTCTCTCTCTCTCTCTCTCTCTCTCTCTCTCTCGTGATACATCGTTTTGCTAATGATCATGAGCATACGGTGGTTATGTCGAGTTATATCCAAAGCGTCTACCGAAATCTTATTGGTCCTGATGTTGGGTCGCCATCGGTGTATAAAAGCTGTCTATTAGGGCCTTTTTTGACTACCGAAATTTAACCGTGTTTCTGTGTTGGCATATTGCGTCGTGGTCATGGATGTCCGCTCGGTTAAGAAGGACGTGTTCTCCCTGTGACTGCGCCTGTGATTGCCGCGTGTGACTGTGACTGTGACTGCGCCTTGTGTGAATGTTCGTGGCCGTGTCATGTCACAAGTGTTTGGCGTGTCTGCGCAGCGCGTCACTGCCGGTGCGTGCGTGCTCGTGCGTGCGTGCGTGCTCATGCGTGCGTGCGTGCGTGTTTGGTAAGCCTTCAGGTAAGCAGCGTCGCAACGTAACAATCGTGATTGTAATTTTCATTTTAAATAGGGATTGTGTCACAACCGTCATTTCTGCAACCGTTTATTGTAACTTATATTTAAAAAAGAAAGCATTGTGACAACCGCTTAGGCTCTTGCGCGTTTGAGTAAAACGTTTGTGATAGCGACATAGGTTCGAGCCAGAGCGATGTCAGAACAAGATATCATGTTTTTCGGTGTTCTACAACACGGTACTCACTGGCGTGTACGTGTGTAGCTAGGATATATTCTGTATATACATAATGTGTGTGTGTGTGTATGTGAGCGATGCGTAGCAGTTGAGCTGCATCAGTAATAACATGAACAATATATATATATATACATACATATTACATATATATATATATAAGTATTATATATTATATATATGTGTGTGTGTGTGCGTGCGTGCGTGCGTGCGTGCGTGCGTGTGTGCGTGTGTGCGTCGCGGCGTGGTGCGTGCGTGCGTGCGTGCGTGCGTGTGTGCGTGTGTGTGTGTTAATGGTAATAGTACATACTCATTGATCTAGGGCTGAGCAGGCAGGGATAGCCACTGTTAGGGCTGGTGGACAGTACAAGTGCATTTGTTGAAATGCATGTGCCTTTGTTTGAATACTCCTGTCTGTATCCAGATATACTTTATACGAAATAATGGATGTGTAAAAATGCGGTTTAGTATCACGCTGCTCGAGATTTCTGCATCTGCTGAGTCGGTATACTTTCTTTCCCAATCGAAACTAGCTGGTTGTATGTCATTCTGCTCTTTAATGGTGGAAGATACCGATAAAACCCACTTGTGACCTACGCCGGCCAATGCAATGCTAATTTTAACGGCAGATTTGTAATAGTACACCAATTAAAACTGCTTAGTGTCAACAGCCGTAGTCACGTCATAGGAAATGGTAGCTATTCGCGAGCAGTCAATTTAGCAGGTTGTTGTTGGAGATGTGTGGTTTAAGATGAAGGAAGTTACGGAGTCGAGTATGTATCACTCACTACACAAAAACGTTTACGATATACCAAGCTGCTCCCCTTCTGCGGTTTTAGTTAGTTTTAGATTATATTTTTCGGTAGATTGGACGCTGTTCGCAATGTTGAAAAATGGTACTTGCATAATAATACACTGTTGTTGTGTACCTAACGTACAGTTATGGTACGTTTCCGTGTGTGAAGTGTAGCCCGATGGTTGCAGGGTGCCTAAAGGTACACGTGGAAAACAAGCGAGGAAGTTCATGAGAAACAAGTCATAGCCTGGCGTTCGTAGATCGCATGCTCGAGAGATTGTAATATCGTACATTGAGTGCTCACTTCTGTCTATCATGTGCCTTATTGTGGTGAAAATGGCCGGGGCCCACTGTTAGAAACATCATTACGGTAATGTTAAGACTAACGTTGCGATTAATTTTGTTTCTAACAACTGGCCGCCGGCACTGGAAGCCGTACATATCTACTTCGTTCTCTGATGTGACTATTGCTTGCCGCGCCGATATCATGTCCGCGTTTTCCTAATACCCCGCGGGAACGTGACTACCGCGAGAGCAGACGTTGTTACTACTTGCATCTGGTGGCAACTTATTTCTGTAGTTTTACTTCCGTTAACGAAGCTCGCATACGAACAGACCAAAAATGAATCTCGGTTAATATTCGTGCGTGGCATCGGGTAATAATTTCACACTAGCAGCGAGCGTTGTTATATCATGAGTATAATATAGACTATATTATACACTCCTGATTATATTATACCTACAGCGGCTGGTCTTTCTACGATCTATTTTTGCACAAAGATTGTACTTCAACTTGTCATAATGTACTATAGCATTAGCTGTAGCACTGCTCGTAGTTGGGAAAGCGAGTAGGTAGTACGCGGGGAAAGCACGTATAGTGAATACGTGCGTATTTATAATCGAATCGATTATACTATTAGGCTATTAGTTATTATTAACTACTGGACCACCCTTAAACGAGTTAATGCCGTTAACGGTTTGTAGAGTAATCCAACCCAGCATTTAGAGAGGGGGTCAGTATGTATGCTCCTCTCTATCTATGTATCTGGCCCTCCCTATATGCCCTCTCCCTTTCCTCCCACTTCCCCCATCGTCATTACTTAACTCCTTTCTCTGCCACCCTGGTTTCCTCCTCCTCTTCCTCAATCTTTCTTCCTTTGGCTTCTCCATCGCTCCCTTTTTCTTTGCTTCCTAACCACTCCATGATTTCTGGCCATAAATTTGACGGGCGATCACTTACGACAATTTAAAGGTTAGCCCATTATTCTCTTGTTTTTTGATGTCTGTGTCTCTGTCGGGGGGAGGGATTGTTTAACCCGCCATCTGTTGGGTTGGGTGTTATACAAACGAATTGCTTCCAACTGCAGTCATTTACGGCTTTGCACAGTGGAGTCGACCAATCTGTTATATTGCCAAGATGCTCGCTGTAGTGTGGAGGTTAGCAAGGGAATGCGCTGCTTGTAAATAAGCAAGCTTCGGCTCAACTGATGTTTGATTTTAAATGACGAAATAAAATTTTATCCCACAAATGCATTCGCCGTGAACGAAACTTTATTGTATCAATGTAATAGAATTATTGCTTGCTACCCTAGCTACGCGTCATCTGCCATTCTAATCCTTCCTTCCGACGACTGGTACAACGCTGAAATCTAGTTACAGACGCGATGACCTGTTTTCCACAAGACATCAAAACAACACCACAACACAACAGTACTTTGCCGTGGGTCACAGGTTACAGTGATGGATCAAAACGCTTCACGCTTTTCTTCTCTTGTTTCAGTTTCTATTCTTCTGTATATATTTATTATACAGATATGTATATATATATATATATATATATATATAAATATATATATGTAACACACCTTGATTATGATGATAATGATGACAGGTAGAGCAAGCTGAAATCATGTGTACCGTGAGATATACTCCTCGACATAACTATCCCAGACCACCATATATAATTCCTACACTGTATATCATACACAGAGTACGTGAGCGTGACCCATTACATCTGACAACGACTGATGTCGCTTTCCTCTCTCCCCAGATCTCGTTTTCCTTCACGGAATAGAGGTGATATTTCGCGTGGCTCTCGTGCTGCTGGGAACTCACCGTGAGCAGATAATGCAGTGTAGCAAATTCGAGAGCGTCATGGACTTCTTGAAGACGTCGCTGCCCAGCATGGGAGTCATACCGATGGAAAGGATATTTAACCAGGTCAGTGCTGGATCTCATTGATAGAAATAAGTAATACTTATAGTAAGTATAATACTAAGTAATATCAAGAGCCCATTAACCCCAGAGCGTACAACGCTGAAATAGGAAAATATGGTGTCGTTTTAGCAAAATTAATAAATTTTACCTACCTTATTTTGATACTTCTCTACCGGAATATTGTGGAGGTGTCGTAGCTAGCCAATATAAGATCAACCGCTTGTCTCTACGATGTTCCTATGCCGAGATATAAAGCGATGAAAATCTAGTACTTCTAGATAATCCTAGCGCAATATCACACAGTAACACGCCTAACATCGCGCGTTTAGTGACTGCTAATGTTGCTTCGACAAAGCTCGTATGTTTCCGTCGTTCATTGATAAATGAGATGAATCATATATAGCCGAATAAAACTCGTCACTGTGATCCTGCTTCTCTTGTCTTAAACCCG